TAATGCATCGCAATAGAATTTTGAAACTACCAATGGGTGGACAATTCAACCGATATTTGAATACATCAATTCCATTCAATTCATTTGACCAATTTACCCTTTTTAGGGTTATCCGATCAATTTTTGAATAAATCATCAATTCATTTGACCAATTTTCCCTTTTTTAGGGTCATTTGACCAATTTACCCTTTTTAGGGTTATCCGATCAATTTTTGAATAAATCATCAATTCATTTGACCAATTTTCCCTTTTTTAGGGTCATTTGACCAATTTACCCTTTTTAGGGTTATCCGATCAATTTTTGAATAAATCGTCAATTCAATTGACCAATTTACCCTTTTTAGATTCATTTGACCAATTTACCCTTTTTAGGGTCATCTGGTCGATTTTGAATAAATCGTCAATTCATTTGACCAATTTACCCTTCATTTGACCAATTTACCCTTTTTAGGGTCATCTGGTCGACTTTGAATAAATCGTCAATTCATTTGACCAATTTACCCTTTTTAGGGTCATCTGGTCGAGTTTGAATAAATCGGCAATTCATTTGACCAATTTACCCTTTTTAGGGTCATCTGACCAATTTACCCTTTTTAGGGTCATCTGGTCGATTTTGAATAAATCGTCAATTCATTTGACCAATTTACCCTTTTTAGGGTCGTCCGGTCGATTTTGAATAAATCGTCAATTCATTTGACCAATTTACCCTTTTTAGGGTCATCCGGTCGGTTTTGAATAAATCGTCAATTCATTTGACAAATTTACCCTTTTTAGGGTCATTCGGCCGATTTTTGAATCAATCACTAATTCAATTTCATTCATTTGACCAATTTACCCTTTTTAGGCGATCTGGTCAATTTTGAATAAATTCTCAATTTCATTCAATTCATTTGACCAAGTTCCTTTTTTTAGGGTGATCCGTCAATTTTGAGTAAGTTATCAAATGTCACTCAATTCATTTGACCCGTTTCCCTTTTAGGGTAATCCGGTCGATTTTTAAATAAATTGTCAATTTCATTCAACCCATTTGATCAATTAGGGTTTCAAGGTCGAATTCCAAATTGGGAAACCTAATCGATTTTGAGAAAAACATCCATTGCATCCAGTCATTTGATCAGTTGGGGTTTTGACCCGCGCTTTACTGAGGAAATTTTGTCAAACGAATTCCAATCTCTTCCATAGGAAGTTCGTCAAGGTCAAACACGTGCGTTTTTGCAAATTCTTGTATCGATCAAAAGTGATCAATCCCTTCGGACGAGGTCCTCATTTTGACCAACGTCTCTTCTCATTCCAATGGGCCAAATTTTTCAAATTATTTTTCACTCCATGAGTTGATCGGATCCATCAGGTATTGTATAGTGCCTATTCTAGCGGATTGCATTTTCATGCTAGGCCTACCCTTGGCACAAAAAGGGTTCCCCCATAGGACATACATACCGATTTTGCAGTTTTGCCTACTAACTCGGGGTATTTTTCTTTTGTTTTCCCCCTCCCCTGCATTCATAAAAAATGTTTCAATAAGATGAAAATATTTCCATATATTGGATAACAATTTTTTGATCCAATAAAGTTTGGAAAGTATTATTTGATTCTTGGGCAGATCCAACAATGGAAACATGAAAGATCCATCTGAAAACTCTAGGCTAAGAGCTTCTAAGAGATTTCATACTTGCTTTCAAGGAAAATTCTGTATATTTGACTTGTTAATATATTTTTGTGTCAAAAGAAAAGGAGACAAAAAGGGTATATATGTGGAGCTCTTTAGAAGTTTTCTATTCTCATTTGTATTATAATTGAACGAGAATTTTGTTTCAAACTTTTTCAGCAATAAAATTTTTGGACAATTTTTGCTTTGTGTATATTTATGTACTTTTCATTCTTAATTCTTACTCATTGGAGATTTCATGATGAATTTTGAGAAATAAAACTAAATTGAGATTTTTTCAACCTCCAGCCTAAAAATTCACAAGTGTATGCTCGATTGGTGATCCGAGCTACACAATAAGAGTGCTCAAAATTAAAAGAGGTCACTCAGAAGACCCGTGAGATGCCTTTCTCCTTCACTTAACCCCAAAATAAAATCAGTCCCATTGATTGATAAATTGCAAATTGGGGCAACCTCTGCTTGAAAATGTTCACTATGTCTAATTATATTCAATTCACATCTAAGTGAAAGCAAAAATGTGCATTATTCTTGTTTGTTTTGAAAATTTGGAATGATACTTCGAGCATTCGTTTCTCTACCTATACACATTTTATCATTTGTTCTCCCATTTGAGCTTTTGAAAGAATAATTTCGTTTCAAATAAAAGCCCTAATGATCACTACCCTATATTGGAAAATTTTCAAATATCTAAAAAGGGAATGGATTTTCAATGATCATTTCGTTACTTTGGTTGTCATGAAGTGTAAGAATGATACTTTGGCCATCGTTTCTATAATCTAAACACTATTTATCCCTTGCATCCTCATTTGAGCCAAAATTGGAGGTTCTTTTCAAAGCATCTATGATCGCACCCCACATTGGGGAGGGAGATTGGAAAATTTTTCAAAAAAAAAAACAAAAAAAAAAGAGAGAGAAAAAAAAGCAAAAAATGCCAAAAGAAAAGAAAAGAGGGAATCACAAATTGGAGAAATATGAATTTTTCTGGGATTCAATTTTGGAAAAAGGGAAAAAGGAAGGGTTTTGTCCGACGAACCATTTATGGAGAGTCTTCCTCAGTCAGTTAATTCCGATACATGCAAGAAATTTCCCATTAATAAAAGTTTCCTTTCAGAGTTATTGTAAGGAACGGAATAAAGGTCAGGCCCTCTTCTTTTCCAATCAAACATTCTATCCCTAGTTATCCCTTTTGAGCCTTCAGAATAAAGTACTTCATTTGGCAACCCCTGAGAATCGCAAACCCCACACTGGGGCAAGTTTGAGTTGAAAAGAAAATTTCAAGAAGTGAAAAGGTGAAAAGCCACAAAATCAAAAGACAAAAAAAAAAAGAGAAGAGAACCTCAGTTCAAAAATAAACTGGGGCAAATTTTGAAAATTTCAAAGAACGGCAGAAGGCCGAAAAATCAAAAGAAGAAAGAAAATGAAAGAGAAAAAACCTCAATTGAGCATAAATTGGGGCAAATTCCGATTTAGCCCTAAAATAGGATTGGCACAACAATGCGATCTCAGATTTTTCAAACCGCTCTTGAAATCTGCCTTCAAGCCTTAACTTTCCTAAGCACCCCACCTGACCCCATTACAAAAGCCGAAAGTCCTGACTTCTGTTCTTTGCAATGGCACTGTCAAGAAAATTTCTGATGCCGGAAAATTTTAGCTGTATTTCTGAATTGCTTGACTATAAGGTTGACGCTACTCACCATGGCAAACCCACCAGATCAAAGAAAAGAAAACGGAAAAGCAAAAAGGAAAAATGAAATACAAAGGATTCGATGGTGAAGTCCCTATTGAGTGATCAAACAAAGTTCAGAATCTTCGAGTTCAAAATAGGGGCAATTTTGGGAAAATGCGATCTTCGGTGCTATGTCCTTGAAAGTTTTATTCTTTAGCTATCGTTTTCAAGCCACATTACAAGCTAACAAAGTCCATCGTTGACTTATTCCTTCATGACAACTCAAAGTGAGTATTATGCTCATAAGAAATCCATCAATCATTTGTGATCATAAGGGTATAACCAGTTTTCGCCTGTTTAGCTATCGTTCTTACCCATTTGTTGCAAACTCAAGGCTTATATGTTGACTCAATTTTCTAAAGAAATGAGGGTGACAAACTATTTGCTTTCACTAAGATGTGACATTGAATGGGATTACATACAACTGGGGCACAAAAATGAGACAAATTCTGACCTCCCATTTCCTTAGCCATTTCAAAAAATAAAGTCACTTGATTGGTCCTGAAAAGATGAGTCAACCAGAAGTGGTGACCCGTTACCCTAAGCACCAATGCTAAAAGTGAGGAAGAAATCTTCTTGAATTTGGTGTTACTTCGAGGAATTCATCATGAAATTTCTGCATGAGTTCAAACTTGACGTTTAAAGTTTCTTCACATTGTTGTATTCTTTTCTAAAATTTAGAAAGTGTGGGTTTTCTTTGTTCAAATAAATGGGGAATCATCTGAGCAAGTTTTTGCAATCAGGGGAGCCCATACTGGGGCAAAATTTTATTTGTGAGATTTCATGAAATAAGCCCATACTGGGGCAAAATGTTTTGTAATACATTTGAGGATGTCAAACCAATCACGCTGCTCATTTCATGGAATTTAAGTGCATGTCATGCTTTGTTAAGCCCCCCTGTGCAGTTATTCATGGTTCAAAATGACGAAAAGCATCCAGTGAGGAGGAAGGCCGATACTGCAAAGAGAAGCAAGAAGAAGGAGGGAAAAATGGACCCGACACTGGGGCAAATTATTTTGAAAAAGATTCTCTCGGAAAAATCCGAAGGGAAAAAGAAGGGAAAAAGTCAGAAAAATCAGAAAAAAATCAATCATTTTCTTATTTCTTGAAAATCCAATTTTCATTTCTTGTTTGCAAAATCTCAGCGCCTGCCGCGCACCCTTCCATTCCCCATTCTTGACAACCACATTGAATTCACTGATTTCTACCGCCGTTAGCATCGAACCTATCCCACTAACGTGCGTGTTTTCATTTCTACCGTCGTTAGCATCGAGTCCATCTCACTAATGTGCGTGTTTCATTTCTACCGCCGTTAGCATCGAGTCCATCTCACTAACGTGTGCGTTTCATTCTACCGCCGTTAGCATCGAGTCTATCTCACTAACGTGCGTGTTTTCATTTCTACCGCCGTTAGCATCGAGTCTATCTCACTAACGTGCGTGTTTCATTTCTACCGCCGTTAGCATCGAGTCTATCTCACTAACGTGCGTGTTTCATTCTACGCGTAGATCGAGTCTATCTCACTAACGTGCGTGTTTTACATCATGATCAAAAACAAAGTGCCTGTTTCTATGGTTGACATACAACTTAAGATTTTACAAGATTAGTCAGCAAATCAAGCCAAACGCACAAGGGATTACAATTGAAATACCTTTTCGTAGGCATCAACTCCAATTTTCTGCTTAAAGGATGAAAGATCTGGCATTGACCAACAGGGGAACTTCACCCCATCATGGGTCACCACTGCATCTGTGGCATATCTTGTGTCCTTGCTTGACTTTATCATGGCAACACTTCTGCTCACGAATATTCCATTAATTAATCAATGAAATTCATTTAGTCAGAGCACAAAAAGTGAAACTCGTGGAGTGCAGGGCATGTAACAGTTGTACATTTTGAATCAGTTATTGTATCCAAGTAACTTCAATTTTTTTTCTCAAAATTCTTGAAGTTCAAGAAAAACCGGGATTCCATGTCCAATCTTTATGCTCAAAAATTAAGAAAAAGAAAAGAATAGAAAAGAAAAGCATCATAACAGCTTTTTACTGCACGGCCATGGATATGGCAATTAATACTTGTACCTAGTTCAGCGTATGTTGTTCCTGGCTATGTAAAATCGTCATACTGGATGAATTGTTCGTAAAATTTCGTAGTTTTAAAGAAACCGAGATGATATTTCCAATCTTACGAGCTAAAAAATAAAATAAATTAAAAAATCAACAACATCACAATCAGCCAGAAATTATAAAGAAAAATCAAGGATGAAAACATGGAAAAAAATTTGTTTCTAACAAATTACCTGCCACTGTCGGATTCCAATTTGACACGGCGAAGTAAAGAGGTGGTCTTGCCTGCAAACATGGGCCCGATGATGACGTGGATCTCCCCGGAGGGCTGATTAGCGGATCCCATCTGATCGGCGGCATCAGTAGACATCGAGCTCAAGTTCAAAGAAACTGAGCTTTTAACAAAGGAAGAAGACATCATTTTCAACGGGACAAAGAGAAAAAGGATAATAAGAAAACTTTAAAATGGGAGAGTTGGTGGATAGATGGGGTAGAAGGGAAGAGAAACGTCAGAGGATTTATACAGAGAAGAAGAAAAGCGTACGAGGGACGTTTGTTTGGGGTTTGAATTTTTCGGAGTTTGAATTTATGGAGGGAAGAGAAGGCAGTTTGTTTGTTTTTGCCTTTTGGGGATTTGGCGTTTTGGCAGTTTGGACTTTGGAGGGAAAGGCACAGGCAAAGGGAGCGTTCTCTTTTGGACACGTGGCCACTGTTTGATTAATTCCTGTGATAATTCTGGTGTTGCCCTGGTTTGCTCCGAATTTGCAGTTAAGTCCATAAGCAAGGAAAGACCTGTTTGGGATTGCATTTTCTTGGGATAATTTGAAAAACCTTCCTTGAGATTTTTGATAATTTCACTTAACACTCTTAATATTTCAAAATTTACGCCTACCTATATTGTCCATTTAAAACGATAATTTTGTTTGGATAGAATATTATTTGAAATAATTATTGTAGCATTTTTTGTGATGTAATGTATGTGAGATAAAAAGGTGGGTTGGAAAATGTGTTTATGATGCAAGCGAAATATTATTTGGATAATTTACTATCCAAACAAACCCATTAAAAGTAACCTATCCTAATGAGATTTGTCATTGTAATTGATTATCAAACAAGAAGTGGGCATAAAAATCTTGACACTCATTCCTTTGTAATTGTACAAAATTACTATACAATTGTTTATAAAAATAAATTAAACTTTATTAGATAAGGGCATTTTAGGGTATTCATTAAAATTTTGACCCTATTTTAAGGTTTGGTTACTAAAAGTGTCAAATCAAAGATGGTAAGTGTAATTTTTAATACCTCAGGGAGCTTAGTGAAATTGCTTATTAAAAACCTTAGGGGAGGTTTCTGACATTATTTTGGAGAGTTTTTTAGGAAAAATTACTATAGCAGTTTTTTAAGATATGAAAATCATATAGAAGGAATATTCATGAAAAACATAAATTGTTTCTCCAAAAAATCACAATCTAAACAAGGAATTTCTAGCAAAAGCAAAACAATAAAATTGATAACCAAAGGCGTAAAATTTAACTTGAGATATATTGTGATTAGACTAAGAAAAATACAATTAATCATAATTTAAATACAAAAAAAATTGAAATAATAAAATGCAAGTAAAAGTAAGTAAGAGAGGAATAATTTGAGTGATTCAGCAGTAATGGTCTAACATCAGCTACCAAAGGAATTTTTCTCCTCTAGATTTTAAAACTAATAAATAGTGTTTTGAAAACTGGGTTGAATTGGCCAATTTGATTGATTAGATCGTGAATCAATCATGGCTCTGGTTTGGTTCATCTTTGGATATGTGATTAGACTAAGAAAAATACAATTAATCATAATTTAAATACAAACAAAAATTGAAATAAATAAAATGCAAGTAAAAGTAAGTAAGAGAGGAATAATTTGTAGTGATTCAGCATTAATGGTCTAACATCAACTACCAAAGGAATTTTTCTCCTCTAGATTTTAAAACTAATAAATAGTGTTTTGAAAACTGGGTTGAATTGGCCAATTTGATTGATTAGATCGTGAATCAATCATGGCTCTGGTTCGGTTCATCTTTGGATTCATTGGACTTAAGAACTAGTGAAAACCATGTGAATCGGAATGAACTATTGAACTGGCGATTTTTTTTTATTTTTTTCTATTAAATTGGAAAAAAAATAGGTTCTTAATAACTCTAAAGACTAGTCATGAAGTGTCACGCCCACTCACTTTCTTCTCATCTTCCATCTCTTATCAAGTTTTCATCTCTACTTTCTAGTTTCCTGATTTCATTTAGGCTCAAAGTTTTTTTTTTAAACAACGTTGCAATCTTTAATTCCCAAAAACATGGTTTAAAGTTTAAATTTACAATGTCTAATTTCTATAGACATGAATTTTATTTAATTTCAGAATATTTTAGTATTCTTGGGTAGGATTTAAAATTATATTTTGGTAGATACAATTGAGATGAAATTTATTTGTTTGAACTTATAACTTAAAACATTTATTTGTGAAAGTCCAACTTCTTTGAAAATATTAAAATTTTTATCAGATAAAATCTTAAATTAGTCCATTAAATATCTTATTATGTGCATATGTATTTATATAAATTATTTTTAAAAAAATTCATTGAACTAGGGTTAAACCAATCCAACTGATTGAATCGCAATCTAAATACCTCGTCGGTTCAATTAGCGGTCTGAGTTTCAAAATATTACTGATAACCAGTACATTGATAACATGTTGTTTTGTTTTTATAGTGGCAATAATACAAAACACCATAGTACAAAGCACATTTTCTTTATAGCTGTTCAAGCAAAACTACTTCACCGAGATAGTCTTTCTTTTCAGTTCTAATCTCACTCCACTATGCCTTTGAAATTATAATGGCTCAAACACAACTAGTTTACTTCTTGGATCTTTTTCTTGCTCTAGACAAAGGATTTATAAGAATCACACACACAAAAGCCTAGTCTATTGCAATGTAAAATTCGATTATGCCCGTCATAGTTGCTCATAAAACAAAGCAACTATAATGGCTCAAACACAACTAGTTCACTTGAAAAGACTTTTTAAGAAAAGACATGGCAAAGATATTTAAAGATTTGAATAGAAGACACAAGAAGGTAAGTGAACATACACCAAGTCATTCAATCTTTGATGTTCCAATCTGTTTCTTTTCTTTGAGTGAATATCTTCAAAGATACTCCAATTTTTTACCATCCAAAAGCACTGCAAGTTTGGCTTAAAACACATATAGCTAATTTTTGTAAATGAGGCGGACTACTACCATAACATGTCCACCATTCATCTATTAAAATACGTAAAAAAAATTAGAAAGTAAAACTAGAATCTAATAATCAAAAATGAAATTCTTGTTTATAATTTGTATACCTGGAAGCATGGCATTACGATATCTTGTTGTAGAAACTCTTCCAAATCATCTTCAACTTTACGAAACAGTTTCATTTCTCTTGTTAAATGACTCAATAAATCAGGATTTCCATAAGAGTATTTCTCAATCACATCCAAAAGTCTTGATGTAGCATGTCTATGCTTCTTCAGTAGAATCATATTGGAAAGCAAGATTCAGCCAAAAACCAGTAGCATGGTCATTTTTCTGAAGTTGGTTATCCCATCTTAAGTCAATTATCTTCAAATAAGTTTCAACTCTTTTCTTTCTTTTAGCAACTCTTTTCAAAAGCTCTTCTCTTGCTTTATGCATAGCAGCATACAAATACCCCATAGAAGGCCTTTCATCACTATCAACAAGCCTGAAAACCCATACAAGTGGCTCTGTTAATTGGACTATTGTAGCACATTTTTTTTTCCAAAACATAGAATCCAATACTAGATCCACAAACTTTTTCCCTTTACTTTCCTTAACATATGCAGAAATAGTCCATTCTTTTGAAGTGATCATGGCTCTCACAGCATCTTTTTGTAGCAAAATGCTTTGCAAGGCAATGAAATTAGTAGCAAAGTGTATAGGAGCAAGACGAATTATTTCTCTCCCTCTAGTGTGTTTTTTCATCAAATTCAATGGATAACAGTGATTATATATATTGTTATCTTAGAAGCATGTCTAACCACCTTTTGAGAAAAAGATTTTTCGTTAAACAAGTACACGTAAATAAGCAGAAAATAAGACAAAAAAACTTGACAACAAAAGAAGAGGAATATGAGAACGTCCAACCAATCTCATAACCAATGACCTTTTGCAAATTGAAGATTATGGAACCATGACACTTCAAAATAACACAAAGAAGAGATAAAACAAGTATATATTTGTGGGTGTGCACGCACATGCATTTTTTACTGAAAAACATGGAATATATATAGGGCTAACAATAACAAAATTCTAATATGCATTAAGTACTAAAAAACAAATTGTATGAAATAGCATTTGTTTCCCATCACCCGATGGCTTTCTATGACCCCCAAAAAATTTTTTTTCCTTATTTTATGTCTATTCTATTTCTTTTTTGCATTTTCTTTATATTACTTTATTACCTTAATTTTCTAGATATTTTTGTAAGTAAGTCAAGCTTTTAAATCATTTTCTTGGTATAAGTTAGTACATGTTAAGTTTGAAGTGTATTATGGACGTGGGACCCGTTAGTGCGGTAAGTGCGGAAAAATTTTGACGATTAGGTGGAGTTTTGCATAAAGGGATATTATTTTATAAGGTGCTAGAGGATAATTAGAAGTTAGTTAGATAAATTAGCTTTGAAAGACAAGAAGATGATGACAAAACCCTAAAGAGCCAAGTGTCACGATACCGTTGGAAGTTGGACTTTGACCAAACCTTTCTTAACTTTACTAAAACCAAACATTGACCAAATTTTGCTCATTTCTTCCCATTTTTCTTAGTCTTGGCCAAAATTCTTGAGAGGAAAAATAAGGGAGAGAAACTTCATCTTCAATCCCAACTTTCTTGCTTGAATCTTGAGCTCTAACCATAGTTTATGCAAACTACTCCATAAAAGTGCTAACTAAGATTGTTGGGTTCAAAATAGACCTGCTACCGGGATCCTAACCTATCTCAAAAACACCATACCGAATGGCCCCTGCCGAACTCAAGGAGCTAAAGTTGCAATTACAGGACCTTCTGGAGCGCGGGGATTCATTCAAGAGAGTGGGTCTCCTTGGGGAGCTCCTGTAGTTTTTGTGAAGAAAAAGGATGGTGGGTTAAGGATGTGTATTGATTATCGGGGCCTGAATAATATTACAATTAAAAATAATTATCCACTGCCCCACATAGATGAGCTATTTGATCAGTTGCAAGGAGCGGTGGTCTTCTCGAAACTGGACCTCCGCCAAGGGTACTACCAATTATTAATCAGGAAGGAGGATATTCCGAAGACCGCCTTCAACTCGAGATATGGGCATTACGAGTTCGCAGTTATGCCGTTCGGATTGACCAATGCTCCTGCCGCCTTCATGGATTTAATGCATAGGGTTTTTAAGCCCTACCTGGATCGATTTGTAGTGGTCTTCATCGATGACATCCTGGTCTAT